TCAGCTATTTGCACAAATTTCCCACGTGAAGGTATAATTTATTAAATGATGAGAAATGTTTTAATACTTAGAATATCTGCTGAACGCATTTAAATTTATAGAACTTCCCACCCTACGAATATTACAGAAGCTATTTGTGTAAAATTATTTATTTTATACTGAACACTTTATAATTGGAAGGACACACAGAAGTTCAACATTTAAAGAAATAAACGTACCCATTTATAAGATTTTATGTAAATTAACCAGCTATCTTGACGCTTCTGTCTTCCTCATCTTTTCACCAAAATATAAATTAATTTAAAATTAAAACAAAATCTGAAAAATACCACTTTTTAACTGTCGCCTAAAAGGGTATGTTAAGGCTTTTTGCGCTCCCATTTAGCAGACCACCAGTATACTGTTATACTCACGCCTATTAACCCATTTCGTTTTTGTTTTAATCATTTTCTTCGCACGTACGTCATATACAACTCAACAGCAAAATTTTAAAATAGTATTACGCTTAGAATTCTGGATGCAGCGATAAGTGTTGGCATACATTTTTCGTTTTTACTTCCTTGTACGAAGTAAAAAGGAAGTATTGTAATCGCGAAAAACTTCGGGTATCATATTTCAACGCAAATATCCATTTTCACCGCTATCCAGTGCAATTCAATGATGTTTTTGCGTGACATCCGCAAGTAAGGACAGAATAGAGGATTCTTCAACCCCCCGCAAAACAAAATTATAAACTTGATTTATAATGAATTCTGAAGAGAATTTTTCGTGGTGTCTGCACGAACATACGTACGTATCTCGCATAACTCAAAAACAAGTAGCCTCAGAACGTTGAAATTTTGTATATAGGACTGCTATAACATGTAGATGTGCACCTCGTATTTTGGTTGCAATAGGCCGCACCAAACGCATATAAATATATTTATATATATATATCCACTCTGTTACTCGGCTCAGTGAGCTCAGTTTCTTTATTCTTATCTGTTTGCAAATTGTGCATTTTTTGCTTTGATTGAATTATGTTGTTCTTATCTTCCGGTTTTTATGCCTTTAGTAAATCTGCAAGCAATATTTGTACAATTATCAAGAATTTAAAAGCTGTTTAACTGAGGTTAAGCAAGCCTAATTTTTAAATAACATGGCGGAAATGTTTGTTTACATTTGAAACATCAGAATAGTAGATTTGTTGCCAATCTAGAGAGACTAAGCTTCGCAACAACAAAGATAACGCCTTCATTTATTATTGCGAATTAAATCATGCTTAATCCTTTCTGGAATTTTTTCGAGGAAATAAGTGTTTAAGATTTACTTCGTGATTTTTAATATAGATATTTTGAGTTTTTATGTATTTTTGCCTTGTCGCGGAGTGAGAACTGAATTAATTGAATGAAAAATACTGAATCGTTTGTGAAAAACTGTTTCTTTTTTGTTTTGTTTGCTTAATTTCTTTTATACATCATTTTAGATTTATTATAGTAGTTGAATAGAACATGTGGCAACGATTCGATAATTCTTCAAATGATATAACTTTTGTGCATTCTGAGTTATAAAAGGAATGAGATGTGACGCTGTTAAGTGAAACTAGCGTCAGAGTGTCGCTATGGTAAACAAATATAGTGAATTTTAAAGAGTGCATTTATTTTATTATGGTTTATGCGTTATCCACGAAGTAGATTTAATTAAATCCAATATGTTTAAATGAAATGCAAGAAAAAAGTGCCTATAATTTAATATTCCGTACAAGGAAGTTATGTGGTGTACACATCAGATTTTTTTCCCAATCTTTTCATAGTTCATCATATCAGTGCTCAGTTTTCATATTAAGATGGCTTTATAAAACTTTTTGTTTTGTCTTTTTATTATTACCGTTGCATGTGCTTAATTTATTTACTAAATGCCCCGTTTTTGGCGCTTACGCCATATAAAATTCGGTTCAACAGCAGAACTACAAAATATTTAAAATCAGCATATCTTTAGCATTTCCATCAGATAGTACGGATGAAAAAGTTTTTTTTTTTTTTTACCCAAGTACCGTGTTACTGTTGGTCGCTTTGAAATCGCTGAGTTTGTTAATAAAAAGTCCGTTAAAATATTACAAAGTATGAAACAGATAATAAAACAAATTTCAAATTCCAAATTCGGGCTTTCACGTGCCCATTTTCGGGTAGAGCACTACGTTATTCAAAATTTGATGGCTCTACGTATCGTTGCTTTATCACATTGCTAGAAACATACATACATTCATGTAGATTCTTCATTGTTTAATTTATTTAAATATAATACAGGGCAATAATATTTGACAACAACAATATTAAAAGTGAAACGTCGTTTATAGCGATCGTTTCGAGACAAAATCCCATTCGGGACTAGCGCTCCTTTTGGGCTAATAAGCGATAGTTTCAACATTTATCGGAACGCGGCTGGCTTGTTACTCTACTTTGAATTCTTTTCTGTTTGCGGCTTGACGGCAAAGATTTGCTTGCTGTGATTCTCCACGGGTGGTTATGAGGAGAATTAGGATTTGCTGATATTGCGCGCTATTTTAAATTTAGCTTGAATTTGCCTTCAGAAACTATTAGCATATCTGAAAGTTAACGGTGGTTTCTTTATTTAATTTTCAGTTTGTGTCAGGTCAACATGTTAATAGAAATTTTATTTCAGAATTTAAATTTGGCTGCTGTGCTTTAGCTTAGAGAGACTGGAAGTCATCAGACACTTTCTTTCGATTACCAAGTAGTTATTTGTTGATTTGGATGCCTCGGTGCGACCGCACCAATCCATGAAACAGACACCATTAGGTATTTTACTTCTTAGCATGAGACATGACAAAAATATGCAGTGCCGTCGCGGGGATTCGAACCCTAGATCTTTCGATCTGTCGAATTTTGAGTTACACTATGAAGACAGGAAAGACGATTTTCTTTAAGACAGCAAATGCAAAACTCCTAGTGTTTCACGAAGTATGCCATGAGGCTTACAGATGTAAGTAAATAACTCAGTAACGCAAAGGAAGTATAATAAAAAAATAATACACAATATATAGCTCTGGAGAGAAATGGGGAATATAAAAATATAACTACTACTATAATAAGAATACTTAAGTATACTACAAATAATAAAATTACGATAATAGTAATACTAAAAATAAAATAAATCAGAATAATAATAATAAAATAATATGTAAAAAATAATACTAATACAAAAGAGATATGATACAACAATAATGCAATACATTAATACGCAACGTAATCATACATAGATAAAATACAATATTATACAGTCATACATAAAAGGATAATAATGCAGCAATGTATATAAATAAAATATTAAAAGTTTAAATAAAAAATAAAGTTGCGTAGCTTCCGAAGAAAAAACGTAATTTCAAATTTCCTGATATAAAATGACGAAATATCATTAATTTGACATACTATAATGAAAATTAAGTTTATTTTCTGTACTTAATTGTTTTGAAAAACGATTTAGACAAAAAATAGTAACCCCAATATTAGAAAACATTAAAATATGAAATAATATTGGCAAATATCAATTTACGGATTAAGAATTGCTTTTTAGAATTTTTGTTATTGATTTAAATGAAAAATCTTAATGGACAGTGAAGTCAGAAATTTCTTTCTGTATGCTCAAGTGAAAATCTGACTCTCTTCATGCGAGTAATTTTCCTTATATGACATTAACATACGTATATAGTATATATAAAGAAGAATGTCTGTGCGTCTGTTTGTTAGCGATTAACTCAGTCACTATTATAGCTATCGTCACCAAACTTTCTAGAGTTCTTTTCTGGATCCTGGAAAAGTTCGACGTCGACTTTGTTTCCAAAAACAAGTAATTAAAATCAGAGATATTACTTAGACAATTTTTGCCCTCATTTTTTCTAGTGGCAACAGTCTCACAAGCTGGACATGAAAATCTGCTTTATTTCGAAAGTTGTTGCCACTGCTCGCGTTCAAATCCTAGAGTTTGTTAACAAATAGTTTTACGAAGTTTTACGATGAAATAAAAATAGCATTGCCAAACATTAAATACATTATTCCCGATTCCAAAAAATTCGTGGGAAGACATTTGGTACTATTCTCATCTTCGTACGATTTAAATCAACCGAAATATTAATTAAAAATTCTGAAAACATTAAATTTCGCACTCATTTTTTCGAGTGGCAACAGTCTCTCGCGTTGGAGATAAAAATGCTTAATTTCGAAAAGTGTTGCTACTGCTCGCTTTGAAATCGTAAAGTTTGTTAATGAAGAATTTCTGCGATTTACAAAATCTATATATATAAAGAAGAATATCTGTTTGTGTGTTTGTTCGCGTTATTGATTTCTGATCAATTATGATAAACTTTTTTACCACTTTTAATTGACTAAAATTGAATATAGTTGAAATATTGAATGGAACTTAAGCTTTTACGACCATTGGATTAGAAAGACGGAAATCATTTAAAACTGCGTGCCATCATTGTTGCTGGTAATAGGAGAGAAATAATTTATCTTTCCGTCGACATTTTTATGTCGGTTCCATATCACATCAGACTAAAAAATGTATCACTATGAATCGTACTTTTTGCATCGTTATTAGAGAAGGAGTACAGCGGTATCGTTCTCTTTGTTAAATGCATTATTCTTAATCTAACTGGCATCGGGTACTTCCGCTAGTAGAATATAAGTAAGCACACTCATATGCGCGAAGAATTAAATAGAAAATATTTAGTGAAACTCAGAATTGCTTTCTGATCAAAGTCAACGAATAAATAATACCAACAAAATACAGAATACACAAGCAATATAGCAAGTTAGCCATCCCAGATTTTCACTACATAGTATACGTTATCTACATTTTTTTAGTTATTCGCATTATCACTAACTGCAGTGCTAATATGGGTAACATGTGTTCTTTAAAAATGTAGACTATATATTAAAAGTATAGCATATTACATTTCTTGTATAATCAATAAATTATTCTGATTACATGCATGTATTTACCTCCTTCTTTAGTCTTGATATAAACTGACTCAGTCCAAGGTCCTTCTCCAACAGATGTTGCAGCTCGAACTTTAAAGGAATAATTAGTGTAGGGTTTCAGATCTTTTATCTCAAGCGAAGTTTCATTTGTAGTTTCATTTCGTGCTTCTATACCTTTGGTGTTCGCCTCTTTCCACTGCAGGGTGTAGTTACAGATCTCTCCTTTTTTTGGAAGAGGAGCATCCCACTTCATGTTTATGGTGGTGTTTGTAATACTTTCACTGCGAAGATCTCTAGGAGCTACAGGAACTATAAAAACCATTTAGATGAATCCTGTAATAACTTACTGATATTTGCATAATGATAGTGATTAAATATTTAAAATACAAAAATAATTACACTACTGAATAAAATTTATTGATAATTCTGAAGTAATTTCTTATTCATCATGGTGATTACAAACATTTCTTTATCTTCCAGATAAGGTGATGGGTGATGTTTTATAAAAACAAACATCGGGAATTGTTCAGAATATTTATAGCTCAACTGGTTCTACTTCAGTAATTATAAAAATAAAGGAACGAGGAAATTTTCCAAACCTGATTGAAATTTCATATCAAAAAACAAGAGACAGGAAAGGTTTTTTTTTTCAGCATTAAGGAAGATGAGTATGTTATGAAGAATTTGTGGATTTATTGAAGGAAAAAATCCTTTTTCAGTTTTTGCTTGAACTAATTCAAAATGTCATTACTCGAAAAAATGTTTGGATAATTCCACAAGTAATACGTAAGATTTAGTTTAAAGCTAATTGTTTTTACAGTTTTAAATAGCACTTGATCTTAGAATTGCCAACTGTGTCTGGTCGTTTCTCACAGAGACAAATATCGATTGCTTTATTCTTTTTGTTCTTTTTTGTATGTTTTCTACATTACTGCATATTCAGAAATTAATTTCAGTAAATTTTATTATAAGCTTTATTAATTTAGTTTTTAATCCTTCTCGAAACATTATTTCTATCACAATGTCTTTCATCAGAGTATTTAACTCTTCCATTAGGGTGTCTTATGACTCTTCCGTTAAGTAGCTAGACTGCATATAAGTATATATGCAGCGATTAAATCTAAGTAAGATATATGATAGTTTTGGGCGAGAAATGTAATGCTAATGAAAAACCAAATTATATATTTTCTTGTATATCTTTGCTACAGAAGACAGGATTGTGCTATGTTAACACTACGTTCCTGATATATCACTCGACAAGCTATACAAGCTACCCTCTTGCTATTTAAGGAATCCTTATAATCAAGAGAGAAAACTATCAAAGTAAATTTAATAATGAAACGTAAGAATTATCAAAATTACTGTAATTTTAGGTTTTCTGATAAAAATACGGGGTATTTCACATTGAATGGGACAATAAATAGCAGCTAAAACATATTAATTCTGAAACTACAACTATAGAAGTTTTTTCTGGCTACAGCGAAAAATCTTCCAGTTTCGAAATCGCAGCTAGAAGCACTGTTAATCAAAATGGCGCCATCCATGCAGGAAAAAGCATATTGTGTTTTGGAATACAAAAAACATCACCATTTATTGTCATTCAAAGACCTTTTTGCACTAAATTTAGCAACGAACCACGCCATTGTCACAGCATCGAACGATGGGTGAAGCAGTCTTAGGGCACGGGCTACTTGTGTAGGAAAACAGTTCAGGATGAGCAGCAGCCAAATTCGAAGTGGTTGAAAAATCGTGAAGAATTTTTACGAAGTCACGCAAAATCAAATCGTTATGGAAGTTCTGAACTGAATGTTCCTCATGTTACGGTGTGACGTGTGTTATGGTAACGGCAACAATTTCGGTCATACACCTTTCAGAAGGTACAATCGTTGAAAATTTCCGACAAACTCTTGCATAAAACGTTCTGTGAGAATTTATAAGATAAACTAGAAGTGTGGTTTCGCAACAGACTTCTGTCAGAGAGACGGACATGAGCGTGATTCTTAAAAGTTTAACGTTTTCTGTGCCATTTCTTACAGTGGTGTTTTGGTCCTATTTCTTCATGAAAAAAATCAATTAACGGATGCATTAACCAAGATAAGCTACCAAAGTTGCTATGAAGATAAGCCGTAAGTTTCCTCCAGTTGGAGGAATCAAAAACGTACGTACTTCAGTACCTGAGCGATACTCTACCCCTATCCTTGGATTTACAATTTGTGTCAAACGATATGCTATTGCTCTATTCAGCACCGAGATACCCAGAATTAAGCCCTTGTGACATTTCCTGTGGGATTTATAAGACAAAGTGCTCGTGTACCCATTTTCTCAGGACTTAAAGCAACTGAAGAAGAGGATAACCGAGGTGCTCGAATCATTAACAAAGGATATTCTATCACAAGTGTGGCAGGAACTGGAATAGCGCACAGATGTTTGTCGTGTCACCAGAGAGGCACACGTAGAACATCTACAGAAACTTGGATAACTATAATTTCATTGCAAATTTGCTTTATTAAAATCATGTAGTTATAGAATTTACATATATGCTTTCTTTTTATCCTGTTCATTATGAAACACCTTGGACTAACATATTGTTTCCAGAAAGAACAATAATGATGCATAATTTTAAGTTAAAGATAAATCAGAATCATTGCACATTCTTATGATATTATTTATCGAATCTATGAACATAAGGTCAGAAGAAACATTTTAAAAATATTAACAAACATTGGCATATTAATTTAGAGGTATTTCCTTTCTTGAGGGATTTTAGCTGTAAAAAAAAGATATGCTAATAGGCTATGAAATTTCGTTTTTGTTGAGATAATCTAAGAGTTAGAAGGAATGATGTAGTACACCCTGCATAGAAAAATGGGATAGTTCTACATCGCCCGTTCTAGTGGGTCGATTGACGAAATTTAACTTACGTTTTTCATGTGTCGAAAGCAAAACTTACGATATATATTAGATTTATATATAGCAATTTTCTAATGTGGGATTTTGACACAAAATCGGACTTTTTTGGAAGGATATACCAATGTTTTTTCATATTTCGATTCTACGACTCAAATTATGGGGAAATGTCAAATTTTGTAAAATTTGGTGTGAAACTTACCTAGATATAAAAAAATTAATCTTGGGACACTTTTTTTAGTTTGCGCCAATGTTGT